CTACTGTCCCCTATAAAATTATTTTAAACACATATTGATTGATACATATGTACATTCTTCAAAGCACAGTATGAGGCCTGGTGGTGCTCCTACTCTAGCAGGAAAGATAAAACAGTAGCAAAGGACACCTAGATTAACCAAATCTACTAACTGCAGTTATAGGATGACCCAATATTCCTCAAATTCACTACGTCAAAAACTAACGATGTAATGTATGGTGATTAACATAACATAGTAAAAAAAATTTAAAAGTAAATAAATAAATACAGAAAAAAAAATTCAGCCTAGTGTAATCATTAGGAGCACAAACTCTAGAGCGAGACTGCTTGGGTCTGAATCACAGCTTTTCTCTTTCTAGCTGTCTGACCTTAGCCAAGTTACCTAATCACTCTGCTATAGTTTCCTCATCTGTCACATGGAGACAAAATAGTACCTTTCTCATGTGGCTGTTATGAGAAATACCAGCGTTAATATTTGTAAAGTCCTCAGAACACTATAACGGTGTTTGTTAAATAAAGATAACAACAAATCTCTTAAATAAGGTTCTTAACTTTTCCCCCCCATGGAGCTATATCACGCATGTGTTAAAATATATACCACGTGAAATAATTTACTGAAAATGAGCAAATTGGAATTCTACCAAAATCAGGAAATAATGGTTGCTTGCACAAAAGACCTGTGCGGAAAAAAATGTCTAAAAAATATCTCCACAGTCCCTTGCATAAAATTTTAGTTTTCATGAGAATCCTGCTGTTTGTTTATCCCTGGAATGATTCTACAGAAAACCCAAATGCCTTATAATGGTATATATTTTAAAAGAGGGATTATAAGAAATATGGTAGACATTAAAAATAAGTCTAGAGGAAAACAATACACCTGAAGTCTATGTAGCTTTAAAGTTGCTCTACTCTTTGATTATGAGTTTCCCAAGGACCAAAGTTAAAAAGGAAATATGACTTTAAGTCATATTGCCCATCAAGCCCAAAACAAAATACACAATTTAAAGTCCATACTCACTTATTATAAAAAAGAGATCCTTTATAGATAGTAAGAAGCGGAAAAAGAAAAACGGGAACCTTTTGCATATCAATATGAAGGGTACAATGAGCAAATGTCCCAAATAGCATCTTCAGATACTTCCATTTAGTTGATGCGGTTTTGTACAAGATTTTCTTAAAATAACTCTGAGTGTAAGCCGATGCCATATTCTTGCCACCTAGTTCAATGATGGGAATCCAGTGAGAGGTTAAGAGGATGTGGTCCAAATCTTCAGATTTTCTGATATTCTGATTATAAATTTCTACAGGAATGGATAGATTTTATATCCTTTAGACCCCTCTTCCCCCATGTTGTTCCTCTCAACTGAGGTTTGTTGAAAGAGGAGCTGAAGACAGTTTGAGGTTATGTACTCTGAGGGGAACCTGCAGTGTGGGTATTCTGTGCACCTGATTAAGGGCAAATCCATATGCTTTACAAATCAGCTGAGCTCGTGGTCGAGCTGACGGCCCTGCTGTTAGAGAATGGTTCTCAGAAGCAGAGGACATAAGCACACTGTTCTCTTTGCTATCTCATAGTATGACATTCTAGAGTTAACAGCAACAAACTTTGCATTTAGAATGATTTTAATGCTGCTTTGCATAATTCAGAAAGGAAGTTAATTGTAGATAACTGCATCTTGGCTTAGATAGAAACCAAAAATGAGGGACTGAATTCTAGTTCTACTACCTGTCTATTAAGTTACCTGACCTTGAACAAGTCATTATACCATCCTGTGTCATAGTTTCATCATCTGTAAAAAGAAATTGAGTAAATTTCAGGCTCTTAACATTTGATGACTGTTTTTGTGAATAAAGACTAAGAAACTGTACTCACTAAATGCCTGTCCGTGTGCCCCATAACCTTGAGAATGCTTTCCTCTATTATGAGTATTTATCATTTGGCTCTAAACAGACTTAATTGCTGCAATTTTACCAGTTATTAAAATAGATAATTTCAGGTGACTTCTTAGCGCAGTGGGCAGCACGTCAGTCTCATAAAATAGATAATTTCAAGCCTTTTGAAGGGGAGGGATGGAAAGAGTGGAGTAAAGGAACAATGTTAGAGACATGACAGGATGCCCTTCCAGACAGGCCGCTGTGCACCTTTTCTGTGGCAACCTCTGGGAGTTCTCTTGAAAGTGTTTTTATTGGCATATCAATCATCCATGAAAGAGATGCTCCAGATTGACCCAAATGTCAAGAATCTTGCTTCTAGTACATGAATTTTTCAAAAGTAAAATTGGAGAAAAGCAGTTGTTGCCTGAATCATGTTCTTGAACAAGACACTGTATGTAATTTTTTTGTTTAAAGTTGTGGTTTCCTAGAACAGGGACTAGGAAGGTGAGTGGGGGGTAACAACATGACAAGAGAAAATGCCTTGTAGAGGACCTAAATAATATATAGTTATGAAAAGAACCCAAGATGAACTTAACTGAACCATGACTGTCTTGAGGGAAGTGATTACACACACACACACACACACACACACGTGATATTATATAAATATATACACACACACACACACAGATTTATCTCTGAATCTCTGCTTTTACTTTTTATTTAATTTATTTAAGCTAAACTGGAAAAAACAACAATTCACCCATTTCTTCCACCCCTCATCCCCTGCCTCTTACAGTCACCAATCTATTCTCTGTGTCTACAAACTTGGTGTGTTGTTTGCTTGTTTTAAATCCCACATATAAGAGAGATCATACAGTATTTGTCATTCTCTCTCTTACTTCACTTAGCATAATGCCCTTGAGGTCCATAATGCCCTTGAGGTCCATCTTTGTTGTTGCAAATGGCAAGATGTCATTTTTAATGGCTGAATAATATTCCATTATATTACCATGATTTCTTTATTCATTCATCCATCTATGGATCTGTAGGTTGTTTCCATATCTTGGCTATTATAAATATTGCTGCAGTGAACACGAGGTGCATATATCTTTCCGAATTAGTATTTTTGTTTCCTTTGGATATATACCCAGAAGTGGAATTGCTGGATCATATAACAGTTCTATTTTTAATTGTTCAAAGAACCTCCATACTGTTTTCCATAGTGGTTGTACCAATTTACATTCACATCAACAGTGCAAAGGGTTTTCTTTTCTTCAATCCTCACCAACACTTTTTATTTCTTGCCTTTTGATAATAGCCATTCAAACAGATATGAAGTGATATCTCATTGTGGATTTAATTTACATTTTCCTGATGATTATGATGTTGAGCATCTTGTTATATACTGGTTGGCCATCTGTATGTCTTTGGAAAAATGTCTATTTAAATCTTTGCTCATTTTTAAATTGGATTGTTTGTTTTGTTACTGTTGAATTGTATGAGTTCTTTATATATTTTGAATGTCAGCACTTTATCATATACATGATTTGCAGTTATTTTCTCCCATGCAGTAGGTTGTCTTTTCATTTTGTTGATGGTTTCCTTTGCTGTGAAGTTTTTTTAGTTTGATATAGTCCTACTTATTTATTTTTGCTTTTGGTGTGAGATTTTAAAAAATCATCACCAAGACTGTTGAATCACAGACCTGTACCTCTGAAACAAATATACATTATATGTTAAGAAAAAAGAAGAAGATAGTAGGAAGGGAAAAATGAAGGGGGGTAGTTCGGAGGGGGAGATGAACCATGAGAGACTATGGACTCTGAGAAACAAACTGAGGGTTCTGGAGGGGAGGGGGTGGGGGGATGGGTTAGCTTGGTGATGGATATTAAAGAGGGCACATTCTGCATGGAGCACTGCGTGTTATACACAAACAATGAATCATGGAACACTGCATCAAAAACTAATGATGTAATGTATGGTGATTAACATAATAAAATAAAATAAAAAATAAAAATAAAATAAAATAAGATATCAAAAAAAATCATCACCAAGACCTATATCAAGGAGCATATTGCCTATGTTGTCTTCTAGGTTTTTTATGGTTTCAGGTCTTATGTTCAAGTCTTTAAGACATTTTAAGTTAATTTTTGTATATGGTGTAAGATAGTGGTCCAGTTTCATTCTTTTACATGTGGCTGTCCCGTTTTCCCAATGCCATTTGTTGAAGAGACTGTTCTTCCCCCATTATAAATTCTTGGCTCCTTTGTTGTAAATTAATTGGTCATATATGTGTTGGGTGTATTTCTGGTCTCTCTATTCTATTTCATTGATCTGTGTATCTGTTTTTAAGACCAATACCATAGAGTTTTAATTACCATAGCTTTGTAATATAGTTTGAAATCAGGGAGCCTGATGTCTCCAGCTTTGTTTTTCTTCCTCGAGATTGGTTTGGCTGGTCAGGATCTTTTGTGGTTCCATGCAAATTTTATGATTCTTTGCTCTATTTCTGTGAAAAATACCACTGGAATTTTAACAGGGATTGCATTGCATCTGTATAATCCTTTGGGACATTGTAACAATATTAATTCTTCTAATCCATGAACATGGAATTTCTTTCCATTTATTTATGTCTTCTTCAATTCATGTTATTAATGTCTTAAAGTTTTCAATATACAGGTCTTTCACCTCCTTGGTCAAATTTATACCCATGCATTTTATTCTCTTTGATATAACTGTAAATGGAACTGTTTTCTTAATTTCTCCTTCTGATAGTTCATTATGAGTGTAAAGAAAAACAAGAGATTTTTGTCTATTGATTTTGTATCCTGAAAATTTACTGAACTCATTTATTAGTTTAACAGTTTTTTTATGGAGTTTTTTTAGGTTTCTATATATAATGTTGTATCATCTGCAAATAGTGACAGTTTTACTTCTTCCTTACAATTTGGATGGCTTTTATTCCTTTTTCTTGCCTAATTGCTGTGGCTAGGAGTTCCAATACTATATTGAACAAAAGTGGCAAGCGTGGACATTCTTGTCTTGTTCCTTTACTTAATTCTTGTTAAATGCTGACTAATCAGTATAACTTCATACAACTTTTTGTCCCCTCCTCCCTTCCAGCACCAAGGAAAAATTGGAGTTAAATTTAATGTTGGAACAGATGACATCGCCATTGAGGAGTCCAATGCAATCATTAACGATGGGAAATACCATGTAGTCCGTTTTACGAGGAGTGGCGGCAATGCCACGTTACAGGTGGACAGCTGGCCGGTGATCGAGCGGTACCCTGCAGGTAAGCCAGTGACTGTGTACTGGGAGAAGATTTTATGGGAAGCAAGCTGGAAAACAAAGCACTATTTTGCGTCCGTTTCACCAAATTGTGGGTTTTCTGAGAAACCATCAAATATTTATTGGACTTTAAAATCATGTGAATGTAATGCTATCCTAAACTGTTCTTGATACAGTGTACAAATGACATTTTATAGGAGAACTTGAAGGCACACAGTATCGTTTGCAAAATTCAGGACATCAGTGAAACCAGAAAAAATGCACACATAAAAGGCACAACATGTCAAAGCTCTTTTTACTGGATCTTTGCATTTGAACAAAGGAAAGGCTTTGTCAAAAGTAACAAAGTTAAAATTTAAAACTCAGGGAAGGAATATTACACAGTTTTCTCCAAAGAAAATAGGACCAGGTGGTTCCTTTGTTGGTGGTACAGAGCTGAAACTCATGAAAGGTGCAAGAGGACCATGGGACAAACAGAGAAATAGTAAAGGAACAATATATAGTACTATAAATCACCAGTTATAAAAACATGTAACTAACTGAAATTTGTTTTCGCTGTCATATAACCATATGGGAGTTTCACAAGGACTCTCTGACACTAGCATTACTCATTTCAAGTCTATAAAATGAATGTCAAGCTATTATTAAAATAAAAATTACCTTTTTCATTGTTAATCAGCTTTGTCAGTTCTACATTATTGAAACAAAAGCAATAGATGAGAAATTTAAACCAGTGTTACTTGGGGTTGCATATAGTCTCAATTAAAAAAGCATGTTGTTTTTAAGTAAAATACAAATTAAAAGTATAATGGTTATTTTACTTCATTTATTATCATCTTTATATTTTAGTACAAAAGAGGTTACTAAAAACATCAGCTTCATTTCTCTCTGCTCCCCTTTTAGATACAACTGACTTGTACAACAGATTTATAGCACGGTATAAAGAAAGAATATAAAAAGAATTTTTCATTTTGTACAGTAAAAATGATTACCAAAATGTGCATAAGCCTCTGTTACAAGTTCTTGTTTTTTGGCAGAAATAATTTGAGGAAATAACTAACTTATTAAATAAAGATTAATTTTTCTTGGTACTGACTCACAATTAGGAACTGTCTAATGAAATGTCTGTGTTGCCCTTCTGGACCTTTGTGGATTTAAAAAATATCTACATCTTCAAGCTTCATTTCAGATCTATTCTGTAAACCTGGTGCTCTGCAAATATTTGCTGAATTAAGTATAATAAAAAAAATCCAGGTCTATGGCAATATTCAGAAGCAAGCAACATTAATAATATGTCCAGTGCCCATTATAATACTGGCAAATAGTAGGCAGTCAATAAATATTTGCTGAATTGATGTCCTGGGAATTATCCCGATTTTACTCTACAGTTATGAGAATGTACACCTTCTTTTACCATCTGTAATAAGATGAAGGAATGGAAGATTTGGAAGGGAAGTAACTTAAATATGCACACAATGTCACACAGTCCCTGCTAATACCTCATTGCATTTATTGAAATCCTAATACAAAGGCATTTTTCATAAAAACTACAGCCTCAGTGAAATTATGGAAAAGTAAATTGGTGAATTTCCTAAAATACGGATTAATCAATAACTGTTTCCTGAGAGGAAGTTATTGCCCTGGACACCATGAAAGATGTAAAGTAGGATAAGGTCTAGGCCCTGTCTCTGGGGGTGTTGTGTCTGTGAATAGTAGAGCTGGACATGTAAATTGACAAATCCCCTTGCTATTATAGTGTGGCAGTTGCTTCTTGAAGCCTAGCATTGTTTCACCGGTTAAATTGTTAAAATTATTTCATTTTAGTAACTTTTTACTCTTATCACACTTTCCGTACTGCTATCTGTAAGAACTCTGCTCTAGAGAATGCTAATGGTGACCTATGAGGGGAGAGAGGAAGTCACACTCTGAAGTTAGTTTGGGAAAATATGTGTTACTAAGTTTAAAATATGTATACTTGGACTTTATTAATACCCATTATGCATCTCTAAAAGAGAAATATAGTATGCATTTCCCAAGCATAGATAACCAGAATCTAGTTTTCTAATGCATTAAGGCATTTGGGTAAATATTTTATGTTTTTTAAAAAATTTCTATACCTCTTTGATATATTGTATCTGATTGGGAATCCTTTAATTGTGCACATACTAGATACTATGTATGAGGTATAGTTCAAAAAAGATATGATCTTTTCTTGTGGCAAGCCAGTGTCCAATTTGACTACTAGTAGCTGAGATTGGGGCAGTAAATTTATTAAGTCAACAAATATTTGTATATTTTTCTAGACTAATATTTGTTTAACATATACAATGTATATTTACCAATTATATGGATGCTCATTATAGGGAACAATGTAAAATATATTTAAAAATCAGAAGCTGGCAATATCATGAGAATTAAGGAGTAAATCTTTAAAAATAGTTATTTTAGATGCAACCTATTTTATATTTAGTCAAAGATTCTATATGCCCTTTCATTAAAAAGTATTTTCGATAATATTGATTAATCAAGAGTAAGCAAAGTTGCAGTTATTATGAAAGATACAAGCAAGAGTAAAACACAGAATCTGTCCTCAAGAATGTGAGAGCACCTGTGGGGAATTTTAATATATACATGTAAAAAGTTAGTGATCGATATGTAAAGAACTCAGGGAATCACCATTGCTGTTATCAAGTATTTTTTTTTTAAAGATTTTATTTATTTGAGACAGAGAGAATGAGAGAGAGAGAGAGCACATGAGAGGGGGGAGGGTCAGAGGGAGAAGCAGGCTCCCTGCTGAGCAGGGAGCCCGATGCGGGACTCGATCCCGGGACTCCAGGATCATGACCTGAGCCGAAGGCAGTCGCTTAACCAACTGAGCCACCCAGGCGCCCTGTTATCAAGTATTTTATTAATCATCTGTTCTATGTGCATTTTAGCATGATGTTGAGATAGGAAATAAACCATGAAAATTTCAAATACCTTTTTCTTTTGGATCTTTATCTGTAACAGTGCCATGAGGGCTGAATACAAATTTTTTTTTTTATTCTTATGTTAATCCCCATACATTACATCATTAGTTCTAGATGAAGTGTTCCATGATTCATTGTTCATGCATAACACCCAGTGCTCCATGCAGAATACAAATTTAAAAGTATATGTCATCTAGTTTAAAGTTTTTAGAACAAAGTGATTTTACGTATGAGTCAATAGAAATGTCTAGTATATATCTCTTTTATATTGGTTTGTGGTAAGACTATTTTTATTTTAAAAATTTTTTGTTGTTGTTACTCTTCATTAGAAAATCAGCTAGACTAATGCTTTTACCACCAAATCCTATAATCAGAGAAGCAGGAACCAACAGACTATATTTGGTTCCTTTTAAAGTGCCTGCACTGCAAAATATAGATAATAAGGATTGAAATTAGTAATTAAGTATAGCACTTAACCATCCATTATAGGGCTTTGTGGTAAGTGCTTTTATATGAAGCAATTCATCTGGTAGCAATGCTATACCTTTAATGAAAAGCACCTAAAGCATTGACCAGTGGTATTACCCAGTAATTGTCTGGAAGGCTTTCATAGAGAAACTAATTAGTAGAGGTAGATTTTATGCTCTTTTGAAGTATATGAAATATTCCTTTAACTCAAAAATTCATATTTTAGAATAAATATTCAATTTTCTGAATAGCAGACCCAATTTCCATTATTTTTTGTATATGGAGCAGTGAGTAGGAATAATATTTTGCAAGCCATTTAAAGATGAGAAAGCCATTTATTGGTGCTTGTTAGTTAAAGCTCTAGAATATAATGCATCGTTAATCTCTGATTTGTTCCTAATTATAGTTATGTAGCAAAATTTCTCTCTCAACAAAAATAGCTTTTCTTTTCTCATAATGTTAATCCACAGAACTTAACATCATCTTACATGCCCAGTCTAAAGATTGCTCCAGGTAAATCACAGTTACCTTTGAAGATAAACCTTTGAGTTCATTTGTGTACTAGTGTGCCAAAAAATATCCTTTACACAAGGCCAAATATTCATTTTATTCCTGTCAAATTAACACATCAAATCAACAAATGTTTAGAGGATACGTACTACATTAAAGGGCATACGAGGCTTACCATCTGGTTACAGAGATACGTAAGAAGTGTTGGAGATTAAAAACATACTATGTGAGAAAATACAGGAGTTATCATATAATACTTGGTTAATTTCTGATTAAGAAATACCAAAAAAAAAAAAAAAGGAAAATATGTTCCAAGGAAGAAGAAGCCATTTTGAGTAAGTGGTCTAGTAATAATATGAAAAAAATAGGAAACTTGATTTGGGTCTTGAAAGGCTAGATTTTTATTTAGAGGATGGCATGCATTTATGTTAATGAGACTAGCAGGAAAAGATAGAGACAGAACATATTTAGAAAGTTATTAAATAGTCCAGATATCAAAAGATACCCTAAAGTAGGTAAGAATTAATACAGAATCCAATAGAAGATCTGGTTTTCGATTGAATAGGAGAGTCATTTTTACTTTTTAATCTGTCTGTCTGTCTCTCTGTCTGTCTTTCTCACCAGCAATTTTTCAACATTCTGTAGCTGCAGTGTGTCATCAGACTGCACCAAGTAACAATGAAATGAAAACCTGTGGTAGGAATGAATAGAGAAGTCAGAGACATGGTTCTCCCTTGCTAAGAGTTTAGACTTTTAGGGAGACAAGAAGGATTCAGAAAAGTTGGCTAGTGTCAAATAAAATGGGTCAACTTCAAAATTACTAGTGAAGAGTGTAATTGATATAGAGTTTTTAAAAAGGAGAAAATGGTGGTCTGTGATGATATAACAAAGAAGATCACTTAGGAATAGGAAAATTTGAAAGAAAGAGTGGAATAGCCCAAGGAAAGACTCTATAGAGATGGTGTCAATATTTTTCACATGATTATTCAGTTTGGCTCAAAGATCTTATGGGTGTTATCTCTAAACCTTGACTTTGTTTTCGTCTTCAAAAATTGGT